CGCTTCCCGGGCCAGTCGGTGTATCACATCAAGTGGGTCCGCTGGAAGGAGGAGAACACGCCCGTCATTACCCAGAACGAGAACGGGCCCTGTCCCTTGCTGGCCATCATGAACGTGCTGCTCCTGGCCTGGAAGGTACCGTGTGTGCGGGCGCGCCAGGGCCCCGCCGCCGCCATGGCGGGCGGTGCCGCTTGGGCAGCGCCGTGACCTGGAAAGGCCGGCATCGCTGGGGCTAACGAGGCGTTTCGGGTAGTGCTGACAGCGGTCAGGGGGTACCTGTGCCAAAACCACGTTAATGCCCCTCTGGAAGTTTGTGCTGATGAAGGCGCAGACTTACTTCTGTTGTGAAGCGCATATCGTGCATAGAGAACTTGGAAAATAAATAACGACTTACAGCCTATTTCAAGTATATTATTTAAATGTTGCTGTCATGCATAGACTTACTTTGTTGTTGCCGTAAAATAGCAATCAAAATACAGATGATGCTTTACTAGACTGAGCGATGCATGGTTTGTCATGTGTGCAGGCTTCTTGTAAGTAAACATTACTATTTATAGCACTGAAAACACAGGAGGTATTTTTGGAAAACAGGTTCGTTTTGTATAATGAGGTAAATGGAGAATTGTACAAAATATAGATTTGTACAAGTAATTGCCTGAATAATAGGGATACATTTGCACAGTTAAGCAGCATAGATTGTATTTAAATTGACTAAATCGGGTTGTGATCTAGTGTGACTTTGAGACCTGGAAGTTCTTGTGTCCTAATAGCCATTGTGGATATAGACTTCCTGTAGGCTTAAAATAATTATTTTTAACTTTTAAACAATTGAAAATGGGCATAATGTAATTATTAATATTTATATATGAAAGGAATCTCTGTTGGAGAAGAGCTGTGGGATCGTGTGCATTGCTAAACAAGGAGAAGGGGATGCTTACCAAGAAATGCTGGCAGTTCAACCCCAGAAAATTGGTGAGCTGATAGAATGGAGCTGTAGAATAGGAAAGCTTTATGAGCATAGTTTTTATGTTGTTGTATCAAGGGGATGAAATTTGGTACTGGAGGAGTAGAAGGTTGTTCACAGGTGTAACAGGTGACACATGAAAGGGTCGAAGTGGACATAATATTATACAAATGAATTTTAGAGAAAGGTAACTTTTCAGGAGATTAATGATTTTGTTTGAGTTACAGTTTCTGTACATTTTCCTGAGTAGAATAGCTTGTACATCAGTAGTAAAGCTGTGGGTACAGTGATGTAGATACTTAGCCATCGGTGAAAGCAGGACAGGGAAGTTGTGTGTGACTTTAAGGTAAGGCCTATGTAGGTTTGGCCATCCTCAAGAGGGTGTGAAGGTTGTCTTAGACTTCAGTATTTAGCACTCGCTTTCTATGCTCCCTCTCTAACATCTAGGGGTGAGTGGAGAAGTTATCACTCCTTGTCATTCTGTGTGGTGGTACGTTAAAAGAAAAGGCTAATTACAGGATTTTCCTTTTTAGCCTTTCATTTAATGAAAGCATAAAAATGGGACAGCACTGTTCTTGTTTGCATTTAAGTTTTTGGAGGTTTTGTTCCTTAGCGTTCTTCCTTTCCCTCCTTAAATAGAATTGCTTTATTCTGCTGTCCTCCATCCAGAATATTAACTGATATTCTGCTTTGATTAAATATACATTACTGAGAATTAAGGTGATACCCAGTTTTATAAATAGGTGAAAATCAAAATGCCTCTGAGGAGTGCTGTACCATTTCTTACTGTTAGGATCTCAGGAGGGGTTTTCGATAATTCTGTCTATGTAAAACCTCAGCAGAATTTACATGAGTGGCAGACAGGCAGCTAAATTGGTGAAACTGCCATCACTGACTAACAAGAAAACCCTCAAGTATATAAAATACAGTTGGTTGTATGTTGCCCCTGTTTACAATTTTCTTTTCCCCAGTTTATAGTCAAAAACTGTGTTGGCATTGCTTGGAACGACAGACTTGCAGCTTGTCTGCACATCACTGACAGTAGGGAGGTACATACCAAGGCTCAGGATGGACTTTTACATTCTCACTTCTTCTGAACTAAGGTGAACACTAGATTGGGTCAGGTAATTATAATTTGGGAACAAGGAAGCAGACCAAGAGATGAAAACAGGTGAAAGCAGAGCAGGAATACCTTAGTATATGTTGGGTGTAAAGAAGCTGTGTTTAAGGGGAAAAAAAATTGGAGTAAGAAGGAGATGAGGAGAGGAAATAAAATCATAACAGAAAATGAGGAGAAAGTAAACAGTTAAGCTTTGGGTTCTCTTCCCTGTATCAGCCACCAACTTTCCTCCTTTCCTTCTCAGAATTCTATCCTGACAGAGTTGAGAGTTTTGGTCATCCTGTAGGTAGACACAGGCTCAAATAACTTCAGATAATGGATGCAAGTGCTTAAAGTTGAGAAACAGTAGTTACAATATTAGTATTCAGGTTTTCATGAGTGCTTCCATTTGCATGGCTAATTACATGCTTCCATTATTCTGGAATGGGAGTCGTAACCTTGAGATCCAGTACTGTCCATCAGCTGTGCTTGTGCAGCAGTGAAGGTTGAAGTCACATAATTGTTTGTGACAAGTGGCAATAATCAATTTGCTCAGAACCAAAATCTTTATTTACTGCTTAGTAATACGTGGGGAAACTTCAGAGGGTACGTAGGCCATAATCACAGAAATGTCTGTGCCTAAAAAACTCAGATGGACATTTGGATATGTTAAGGAGAGCTCACCTTTTCAGGTATTTAAGTTCCTCAAAATGCAGGCTTCTTACCTCCACTCTGGAGTATTGTTTTAAATATAGTAGCAGGTTTTTTACTTTGTTTGTATGTTCCATTTGCCCTCATTCAAAACAGGTTTTTTGAGATAGTGCTCACTGAATAAAGAGAGACTATAGGTGGTTGGTTAATTTGCTTAAAGGACTACAGTAACAAGAAGACTTAAGATAGACTGTACCTTAGGTAAGTCTGCCATATAATCAAACTATTTCTTCCTAGTGGTTTTGAAGATCTTGTTCAGTAAGGGAGCAAGAGTCTTCTCTGCTTGACTATTTATTATTCAGTTTTTATTAAGCCTTTTAGAGGTGTTTTTATATTAGAGTTAAGATCTTTATTTAGGGATACAGTTATAAAGAATACTTACAAATAATTGATTCTTTTAGAGTGTTGCATCTCTGTGTTCTCATCTGTGAGATACTGGTTTGGTACCGCTTGGGTTTTTGGAAATTCTGAAATAGTAGCAGTCATTGGGACTGTTTAGATTCCTTTTTGATAGGACCAGGTTTTGGAACTAAACTTGTGATAGAACTGCTACCTCTCTTTTACCCATCATATTCAAAGAAGGCTGGATGTACAGCTGGACTTACTGCTGGACTTGCTGCTCACTAACCAAGAAAACATGCTCTGTAATATCTTGGTTAGGGACGGCCTTGGCTGCAGTGATCACAGCATCATGGAGTTTGGGATACAGCTGAGCATGCTGAAGGTCGGTTCCAAGACAGAGGTTTTAGACGTTAGGATAGCAAACTTCAGCTTGCTTAGGGCTCAGTTGGAAGGGATTCTGTTGGAAGCTTCTATGGAGAATAAAGGAGCTAGTTAGAGCTGGGAGCTTTTCAAGAACACTCTCCTAGATGCACAAAACCAGTTCATCCCCTCTATATGCAAGGGTAGCAGGCAGAGCAAGAGACCCCCTTGGCTTAACTGCGAGCTTCTGTACTGGAGATGGAAAAGTGGAGCATCACCTGTTGAAAATTACAAAGGCATTGTCAGGGTGTGCAGGGATGCAGTTAGGAAAGCAAAAGGCCAACTTGAACTGAAATTGGCTAGAGATGTCAGAAACTTCAGGAAAGGATTCTTCAGGTATATTAACAGCAAGCAGAGACAGAAGGAGGATATTGGCCCGCTATTTAACAGGAGAGGTGAACTTGTCACCAACAACGCTGAAAAGGCAGAGGTCCTCAACACCTTCTTCACCTCTGTCTTCACCAGCACTGCTGGGTCCCAGGCCATGGAAACAACTATCCATATTGAAGCAGATGCAGACCCACCGTCAGTGAAGGAAGAGCTGGTGTGTCGACCATTACAGGAGCTTGACCCGTATAAATTGATGGGCCCAGATGCCATCCACCCAAGGGTGCTCGGAAAGCTGGCTGATGTTGTTGCGAGGCCACTCTCCATAATCTTTGAGAAGTCGTGGAGATTGGGAGGCGTGCGTGAAGACTGGAAGAAGGGTTCCTGTAACCCCTATATACAAGAAGGGTTCCAAGGAGGACCCAGGTAATTATAGGCCCATTAGCCTCACACGGATCCCTGGAAAGATTATGGAGCAAATCCTCCCGAGTAATATCACCAGTAAACTGAGACACCTGATTTTGAAAAGCCAAAATGCGGACAGGTTGGAAAGGGTCCAGAGAAGGGTGATGAGGATGATCAGAGGACTGGAAGAGCTGCTGTATGAAGAAAGGCTGAGAAAACTGGGCCTGTTCAGCCTTGGGAAGAGAAGGCTTAGGGGGGACCTTATGTACCAGTACGTAAAGGGTGACACCAAGAAGATGGAGACTCCCTTTTCACAAGGAGCCACATGGAGAAGACAAGAGGTAATGGACACAAGTTGCTTCTGGAGAGATTCCAACTAAACTCCAGAAAAAGTTTTTTTACCATGAGATCAGTCAGACATTGAACAATCTCCCAGGGGAAGTGGTAAATTCCCCGACACTGGTCAGTTTTAAGAGTCAGCTTGACAGGGGCTGACTCATCTCATTTAAACTATACTTTTACCTTGAGAGGTTGGACTGGATGATCCTTGTGGTCCTTTCCAACCTGGCATTCTCTGACTCTATGAACTTTGTGGTGGCAGATTGTGGAAGCTTTACTTTTAGGTGCTACAATTATTAAATAACTTCTTTTGAAGTGTGTTTGCAGTCTGCCTGAATAAGTTGTATAAGAGGGCGAGCTGAGGAGCACTGCTTACACAAGTGTTACAGAAATGTTCTTCTAAGTAAAAAGAAAACAGAAGCAGCAAGGTACCAGTGTGAAAGAGTAACTTGTCCAAAACAGCGTGGTAAATGTTTAGGCTTATGTGAAGGAAATGAAAGCAGGAGTATTGGAACAAACATTTTAAAATGTACGTACAAGCATGAGTTGTCTCTTCTAATGTAGAGTAGCATAGGACATTGTCTTTCAGCTTGCTTAAATGCGAAGATGGCTCAGTTTTTCCTCAGACCTGTGGTTCACTGTGTAGTTATGCTTTAGCAGTGCAAAGCTTGCTTTTTGAAGTACTTTTAAAGTACTGATCTTTGTTAGGTGTAGTGCATGCATGATAACTTCTAGCATTGCACTAAAGTGTAATTTTGTGTGGGGGTACCCCTCTTCAGGATGTACTCAATGGTGATCATCAGGTGCTAAAAGCTTAGTAAGGCTGCCACCTAATTCTGTTCTGTGTTTCTTAGGTAGGATGTGATGACATGTAGCTGAAGAACTCCATGAGAACCTTAACATATTGCGCAGAAATTATCTATCTGAAATGTCCAGGGAACAGAGAAACAAATTGTTTGGGAACATAAAATAGGCCTAAAGGAAAACATAATGTGATACAAATATAAATAATACTAATACTGTCTTGAGAAAGGAGTGCATATGGAATACCTCCTCCTTACACCTTTTTATGTAGGTGAATAATCTCAGTAGCACATTTGACAGTGTTTTCAAAACTGTTTTCACAGTTCTCTGAACAATGGAAGGTTTTGGGAGCTGTGTTCCCTACGTGCTTAGCTCTACTAAAATTTTGTTGACTTCTAGAACTGTAAGAATTAACCTATTTAGGTGATTGTAACAATTATGTAAGTAAATGGTATCCAAACTGAGATGCAGAGAAGAGTTAGAGTAAAAAATTCTTAGTTGGAAACTTAAGAGTTTTAGGTTCTCTTAAAAATGGCCTTTTTTTTTGTTTCAGAGGAGCTGAGGGGCAGTGTGCTCCCGCTGATACCCATTTGATTTGTTGGAGTCTGCAGTGGTAGTGCCTGGTCTGAGGTCTGGCATTGGCCCTTTACACGTGATCAGCTTTTTCTTGTCACTGAGCTAAACCTTATGTCCAGAATTTGCACAGATTGCTCAGATGAACTCGCTCGGCCTCTGAAGGTGAGTTGCTGGTGAGCTTCTGATGGATGCTCAGCAGAGGCCTTGGCAGCCTTCTTCCCTGCATCTGTGGGATGAGTTGAGCTCACAGATCAGCAGGCCTGTGGCTGCACAGTTTCCAGAATAGGAAGCCTGCTCTGATGGACTGAAGGAGACCCAGTTGAGGGTAGAGATGTTAAGTTTATGAGGTTGGCAGCATTTACTATCAGGCTATCATGTGATAAGCTTATGAAGCTGTTCCCGCAAGGTTAGAGGTATGTATTTGCAGGGAGTTTTAGTTGTTTTTTGTCACAGCAGCTTGAAGCAACCCTTACCTCTTCTGGAACACTGAATTCAGAGGAGTTGTGTATTTTAGACAAACATGTTCTGATACTATAAATAACAAGCAGTTAGAAATTTGCATGGTTCCTTTTTATATGCATAGTATTTTCAGAAGTGTTAACATATGTGCAGGACTAGCTAAGTTGGGGATTTTTTTTTGTTTAGACCCTTCTGAAGAGTGGGAGAATACCCTGGAAAATACTTAAAATTAGTATTATGTAGTTTTTCAGTTGGTAGTCGAATGCATAGAAGCTGTGTAGGTTGTACTAGGCAAACTGTTCAACATGAAAATTTGTTTGCCAGTCTTGTCTTTTAATTACAAAGGTGACTCAACTGTACCTCACATTGTAGTTGGTAAGAAAGACTTAGTTTCTGACTCCTGAATGTGGGAAATGGAAAGTAGCTAGTGTTAGGAAGGGAGATCAGGGTGAAAGACCAGGAAACTGCAACAGAGAGGTGCAGGAAGTCAGTGGGAGTTGAGGAAACGTGTTTTTCCTAAAATGTAAAATTAAGGTAAAATCTAGCCACTGAGCATTGAAACCTACTGAGAAAACTTGTCCCTCAAAATAATAGATTGCTATGGTCAGCGCCAGCTTTCACTACTGTTACTTACATTGTTGTTTTCTGTTGAATTGCTGTGATTCTGTATGATATATCTCTCTCCCTTAAGTTTCAAGGTGTTTTTCTTTCCCATTTCCTCTTTGTTGTAGCTTCCTGTAGCTTAAGCGCTTGCAATGACGCTCTGAACTGTTAGGAAATACCACCTTTCTCTATATTCTTAAGTCAGCTCTCTTCAGAAGTACTTATGACTGTGTTGGAATGCTGTTAGCCCGCTTGAAACGTGTGATCAAGATCCCACAAAAGATGCCAGCCCTAAAATTGTGCCATGAACTAATCCATTAACTTTGCTTAGCATTTAATTGTGCAGTTAATTTTGAGGTTTAGCTTATTCAAATGTCAGACTGTGAGAGACTCTGAAAATATGAGTAAAACTGCTTTGCTTTGGTTCTGCAGTAAAAAAAATAAATAGTTTATCATTACAGTCACGAGAGGAAATTCAGATTGTAACCAGTGATACAAACAACACCTCCTTCAGTCCATAAAGTCTAAAACATTAATGAATTTATGCCTTGAGTACACAGAGCTCAAATATAGGTAACTCATATAACTGTGCTTTACAGCTGGCATCTGTAGTGCGGGCATACTTCTAGATTCCCAAATGTAGTGCAGAGCAGAAAACCCCTAGCAATGCTGGCTGAGCTGATACGAGTGGTTTTAAAATAATAAAAAGAGCTAGCTTCAGTCTTGAAAGAATCACCACGGTAGTCCTGCTAATGGCTGAGAGAGCAATGCTGATTTTCCTTCATACTGTCCTGGCACATTTGTACTGTTAGTAGTCCCAGAACTAGTTGTAGTGTGCGAGTGTAATTCTGCTTTGTGCTGTTAGGTTGAGGTGCCTTAGGAGCCGTCATGAACCAGACTCAACTCAGGGGTGTGCAAAGCTGATACTTGCTAAGGCTTGAAGGCTGCCAATTCAGAACCAGAAGTTTAAGAATCAGCTTTCTGAACCTGTGGTCCCTGTTATTTACATGGCATGATGTATTTATGTGAATACTCAGCATGAATATTATGAACTGGATCAAAGATTATGAAAAACTTTAGCCTGTTGAGTATCAGTGAAACTGAGAAGTTTCTGGAAGAGGTTAAGAATCTTTGTAAGTTACAGTTACCACTCATTTAAAAGATGTTTTCAAAAATTCATGTGCCTATGCATGCGTGACTGATTTTTGTTCTTGTTTAATTTGTATAATTTTAAGGGATTTTTATAAACAGAACTAATAAGCAGAACTAATGAAGCCTTCTTTCTTATGAATTTGTCCTTCACTAATTTCCTGCTTTACTAACAATTTATACTTTCCTTCCCAGATCCCAGTACTGTCAGCTTCTTTCTATGTCCACCGTCAGTGTGTGACACATGTCAGAACTGGCCACAAAGCAGAAGTATGGGCGTATTTCTTAGGCAGTGTATGAGCAACAGGGCCATATTAACTTGAGTCTCTTTATTATTATAAATTTAATGAAACTTCTTGTAAATCCATCTATTAATCATATTTGACAAAAGGCAAATGTGTTAAAAATTGGCAGTGAGACAGATTCAGACCAATCACACCTCATTTTCTCTGGAAAGCTATTAAAATAGCTTAGTTCTTGGATTGGGAAGGAAACCCTCTCCATCACAATGTGAACAGTGTAGTGTGTTGCTATACTGTATTTTTGAGTTTGGGATGCTGCATCAAAGGCTTTTTATGTATTGTTCTTTTGTCCCATGGCTTTTTACTTCCTCCTTCCTCTCCATAACCAGCAAAGTAGTTAAAGCTTATTAAATCTTACACGTGAGTTAACAATCTCATATCATGTCTTTCTATCTGTGTCAAGGAGAATGGTAATCAGTGTTGAGGAACTCGATTTAAAAATTCCTAGTAAAATAAGCACCAGACTTTCTAGACCTTCAGTGGTAAGATGTTGAAGAGATAGGGCACAAAGACTAAAAACTGAGGAGAAAGCTTAAAAATGACCACCACCAAAAACCCCACAAACTGTAGAAAAATGAAATTCACATTTATGCAGAGAAAAATTGAGCCCGCTATGGTTAAAGACAACGTACTGCTGTGATATTCTTTCAGATTGCCGGAAGCGTGCCTTGGTATGTGTTTGTGCTTTGGCAGTTACTGCAGGGAGATACAGAAATGGATGTGCGCAGCCAAAGCTTTTACCTGGTGTGCTGGATGGAGGAGAGAAATATGTGAGGAGCTTTTGGCTCTGGCTGCTGCCAAAGTGGTTGCTTTTAGCAGGTGATGATGACAGGAGTAGTTCAGGGGAGAGGAGAATGGAAGCTTCACCACGGAGCTGTGTGTGCCCAGTCTCTGCATGCGGTTAAACCGAACCCTTCAAATGTGAGCGTGGGATGAGAGGCTGGGAGGTTGTTTCCTCCTACCTGCGTGAGTCTTGGCTTCCCTGTCTCAGCAGCTGTCCAGTGTGCAGAAACTTTGAGTTAAGACTCAGTTAAGAGTTACAGTGAAGGCAGGGAGTCAAAGACTTTTCTGCATAAGGTGAAGTTTTCTTAAGTAAGTGTGGCTACAGTTCCCAGTCTGTTCATCCTGGATGTTTGCAGCTGAGCTAATGCAGCGAGTGCTGGGAACTGCTGTGAAGTCGAGGGGGATGTTGGTGAAATGTTCTGGTGGGAGCAGAGAGCTGCAAGTGTAAAAGTACTGTGTCCATTGGTGTCTCTGAAAACCAAAATGCCCTTTTGTTTAATCTCTTCTTGTAGCTGTTATTTTGTAGAGGTCCTGGAAAGGTTCTTGGTCCCAGTACGCTAATTGTCTCATAAATTGGTGAGGCAAACGCGGTCAGAAGACTTCTCTCTAGAAATATCTTATAGGTACTTTATAAACTGTAATGTTTTGACGTTTTAAAGAGAATATGCTTTTACTTTCACAGATTAAGCTGCCACCAATGATGGAAATCATAACGGCTGAACAGCTGATGGAATACTTAGGTTAGTAATTACAATAAACGGTTTTCAATTATATAGTATGCTTACTAGTGACTAACACTGTTTTATTTATTTACTATTTTATTAAGCTTTACTTCAATACTACTTACGGTATTCAGTTACTTATACTCTTCCTTAATTGGTTTTAGAAGTCTTCTGTACAGTTTTCCTAAGTGGTTGTTCTAGTGATGCAGTTGGTATGGCTTAAATTGACCAATGTGTTGGAGTTCTAAACGTGTTCATGTCTCGCACAACATAGTTTTGTTATGGTTGACAGAATGTAGTAAGTCAACTGTGCCTTGTCTGCAGTACCTCTGATCCTTAGTGTGACTCAATTAAAATACAGGAAAAATTTAATGTAGTGGTCTGAGTGATTGAGGTCTCATTTGCAGGCACTACTCCATAATCAGATTCAGCGTTCAGCAAAACTGCAGCGGTTTCCATCTGACAAGTCTGTAACTTCAATAGCCTGGAATGATCCAGGTGTTAAAAGTGCAGTTGTGGTTGTACTTAAGCTATGTGTACCACAGCTCTGCTCTTTGTAGCCTGACAAGTATAAAACAGTTGAGCTTAATGGACTAGATTTTAATTTTTTTCTTAAGCATGAGGAAAAAAAAACCTTACTGTCTTTTCTTTCTTTCTTTTTACGTGTAAATAATGTAGCTCGTTCTTTGCAAAAGCGTATTGCTGAATCTTTCAGTGGAAGAAAACAAGTTAATTAAATTAAAAAAAAGTCTTAGGAAATCTCGCTGCCTGTATCTGAACACTTCTTCTAATTGTATTGAGGGAATAATACTGCCCAAAGTCGCTGCGTAATCACAGTTGTCTAAATGTGTGTGTTCTTTCTCGAAGGTCTGTGTTAGCTTCTGGAATTCCCTTATTTGAGCAGATAATTTTGTTGTTCAGTTAAATTATTTAGGTTCCTATTCAGGCAACAGGATTAGCAGTTGCCAAATGGTGGTTCTGCTTAAAAAAAAAAAAAAGGAAAAAAAAATTAAAAGTCCTTCAACCACTTTCAATAATTTTATTTTAAAGGATTAGGAAACCTGTAATGATATTTTTCGTTGAGTAGGAATGTTGTTTAGGAATGGAACAAGGGAGTGAATATGGAAAGTGTTGAAATAAAATCTGAAAAAAATGGGAGAGGCAGTTCATTGATAATAGTCACTAAAAGCGTTTTAAATCTTGAAGCCCACTGTGTTGATTAACTGATCGGTTGCCTTTGTGTTGCTGACACAAATGGAATACAAGCCTTTTGGAATTACTTTAATTATATGGAAATGTATGCCAAAATATTGATCGTATCGGTCAGGATAAGCGGTTGCATTTTTAAATTGTGTTATCTTATATAAATTGTGTTGTATCTTACTGTGAACAGTTTGACCTTTCTATATTTTCGAGTTGAGGTACAGAGGGAGGTAAATTTCTGAATAATTAAGAGACTGATAGGATGCTGTAAGAAATTCTGAAATGCTGCTTTACAGCAACATTGGTCATTTGAATTTTATTTCTTCATATGATCTTGCTGTGTTTTTTTCTACTCATATTTTACTCTGTAATTATAATTCAGGTTATAAAACAATGCGGTCTTATTAATTTGATTGAAAACTTCAGTGGTGATACTTATCAGTCAGCTTCAGTCAGAAGTGTGCATAGAAAAGTTGAAGCTTTGAAAGCTTTGAGTGTGGAAAAACTTTATTTTAGTTTTGCTTTTTTATTTTTTTCTTTTTTAGGGGACTATATTCTTGATGCAAAACCTAAAGAGATATCTGAAATTCAGCGTCTGAATTATGAACAGGTAATGAAATACTCCTAAAATACAATTGCTTATGTGTGAAGGAACTACAACTTTTTTCCTCATCTAAGGCTGATGATCTTGTTACAAACAGGAAGCGTACAAACCATTGTTTGTAGTGAGTTTACTTTTGTTTTCTCGGCTTAATGTCGAGTGTTATCTATAAATACAGAATCACAGAATCACAGAACGTTAGGGATTGGAAGGGACCTCCAAAGCTCATCCAGTCCAATCCCCCTGCCGGAGCAGGAACACCCAGATGAGGTTACACAGGAAGGCGTCCAGGCGGGTTTTGAATGTCTGCAGAGAAGGAGACTCCACAACCTCTCTGGGCAGCCTGGGCCAGTGCTCTGTCACCCTCACTGAGAAGAAGTTTCTTCTCAAATTTAAGTGGAACCTCCTGTGTTCCAGCTTGCGCCCATTACCCCTTGTCTTATCATTGTTTGTCACCGAGAAGAGCCTGAAAATACCTCCTACTAGTGAAGAAAAACTCAGTATCAGTTAACATAAGAAGTTTGGGTTTTTTTGCCTGCAGTGAGTATAATGAAAGAGTTTTGGTTTTATTGAGGAATTATAACATGGAAGTACACACGGAAATATACCAGGGTAGTTGCTCTGTGAAGTCCTGTGTTATGTGTCCTTCAGTGTGCGGTGTTCTGTGGTGCCTGCTGGACTTCCTCTGAGGATGTACAATGAGCAAGAACAAGGGGGAAAAAAAGAGAAATGGGAATTTTTTTTGACATGTTGAACTGAGGGGTACTAAAGGATGAAGGGTTACAAGAGTAACTGCCAAGTGTACAAAGGTCTATTTGGTCATTGTGGTTTTTTTCTTTCTGCTGTCAGAATATGAGTGATGCAATGGCGATTCTACATAAGTTACAGACAGGTCTGGATGTCAATGTGAAGTTTACAGGTGTACGAGTCTTTGAATACACACCTGAATGCATAGTGTTTGATCTTCTCGATATCCCCTTGTACCATGGGTGGTTGGTGGATCCTCAGGTAACTTTATTTTTTCAGTAATTCAAACAGAATTCTGAATTTTACTGGGGGGAGAGGAGATGTTTCAGAATTTTAACTGGAGTTAATAATAACGATTATGATAATGAATTTTTTACATCTAGTCAGAGAAATTGGATTTTCTTCAGAAAGGAGTGAATGCAGACTGTACCTGCTTTGTAGTGTGGTAGTTTTGCAGAGACTGTAGTCAAACTAAGTTTCAAAACCACCTATGCTGCATTCATGTCCATATAAATGAGGATTATTCTGAGGGAGGTAGGAAGTTGCCAGATACGGTGTCTCAGTCACTGTTTTTGAAAGCTTGTTAGAGAACACTTGGAAGGAATGCAGAGTTACTTCCCTCCTTTCTTTAATTCTGATTTACTAGTCACTGCTTTTGAGAACTGAGGATGTTAGGACCAATTAAGAGACCTGCATCTTTAACAAACATATACTATATTTTTAATTATATTAATAGGCAGTAAAGTGATACTGTTTACTTAGGGGGGAACTGTTGAGTTTGGCTAGAATAATCTGCCTCACATTATTAAAATTAAGTGTTTTTTCCTGCTCCAGGTTGCTGACATAGTAAAAGCAGTTGGTAACTGCAGCTACAATCAGCTAGTGGAGAAGATAATTTCATGTAAACAGTCGGACAACAGTGAACTGGTTAGTGAAGGTGGGTAATTTTTTCTATGCTTTATCAAAATACCTACTGTATCATACCTGTTTTCTATGTGGGTCCTGGTATGTAGAGATACAGGTGTGAACTGCTGCTTTCTGTCTGCTGAATGTCTCCCTGGGCAGGCAGACAGCACTGTGCTTGTTTTCTAAACTCTGCAATTTCCAAACCAAGGGTAAGCCTCATTCTCTTGATCTATTAAATATACTTTTTAAAAAGCTGGAGAGAACTTCATTTATGAAAGGATACTATGGGCAGCATTCAGTTTTCAACTTGGCTATATATTATCTCCTGTAATTAGAATATGAATTATATACTACACGATGACAAGGAAAAAACCAGCAATATTAGTAGTGGATATAGCATTTCTGACACGAGAGGGTTATCTACAATGCTGAGGTTTTAGAACTTTCAACTCATTTTCCTGAATGTGTCACTGACTGTGTTCCCTTAGATTTGTGGCAGTATGGGGACATCTTAGTAGGGAGGAGATAAGAAAAATATTACAGTTCTAAACAGGTAAATTAGAAAGTGTGTAATAGACATACGTAACAGTATGTATTGCTTTTGTAGGGTTTGTAGCTGAACAATTTCTGAATAACACAGCTACACAGCTGACGTACCATGGACTGTGCGAGTTGACTTCAGCTGTCCAGGAGGGAGAGCTTTGTGTGTTCTTCAGGAACAACCATTTTAGCACCATGACCAAATACAAGGTATATTCATCACTTTTGTCTTTACTGTTGTTGTGTTCTCATTTCAAATCTAATCTTGTTTTTTCCCCTCTCTTGAAATAGAAATAAATTCCATTTTGTTTTATATGTAAGTATGACTTATGGTGAATGTAAAGTCTAACAAATGTTCTTCGTGAATTATTGATTACAGTGTTTTAGCTATCAGAATCCATTATCACGTTAAATCTTCTTGTAGCTCTTCCCTTTATGTTCAGGTTTCTCCCTGTCTTAACCCCTTTTGTGGTTATGTATAATGACACACATTTCTTACGTGGCTTAAATTTACTCGCAGTTTGTGATTGGCAATGATAAGGTTAATGAATTGATTTAATTTCTTGTTTCTGAGGATATGAAACTTTGCTTTACACTTGGGCCAGTAGATGAGTAGCTCCATCACGGTGTTCAAAACACCACACATTTGGAGAAGTCGAGATTAATTACAATATTGGTTCCTTTTGTTAGGGAAAAGATTATTTTTTAGAATCTGAAACTGGGGAAGCAAAATGGTGAGAATTGTTAAAGGAATATGGCAGGATATGAAAAGCAAGTGACAACTTGGTTAATGCTTCTGGGACTCTTTCCTCTGTGGAATGAGGAGCCTGGCAAGTTCACAATCATTTACGGAGCATCTTTGTTCTGACACAACTTTGTCTTTACTAAGGTGGTAGTGTATTGTTATGTATCTGGCTTGAGTAGAAAGGGGCATGGTCAAATTGTCTTCTAAGATGTAATCTTTCCTTCCAGTGATAACTCTGAATATTTTGAGGTAAACTTCATTGGCATGCAATGTCAAATCATACTTGGAGTTAGACATTTCTTTCAAACATACACATGAGGTTTTTTACCTTTGTATAGAACTCTTGAAATTATTTGTTATTTGTTATTTAGTAAGACTTCAATTTTGTGTACAGTTGAACTTATGAATAATGGTAATAAATGCAGAAGATGCCATGTGTAACATGCAAAAACGTCAAGGAACCGCTGTTTTTGCCATCCATTATATGGTAGCATCATATACCTCATGTGAATGACGTGCACTTTTTCATTTGGCAGTACTAGTCCTTTTCTCTCCCTGTGTGTTACATCTTGCTTGTCAGTGCTTGTCTTTGGCATTCTGAGTAACTGCTCATAAGCCGAGTTAACACTCTGAATAGTCCTGATAAATAATTGACTCTACAAACAGGTAACAGATTTGATTTTTCTAATAGCTTCTTAGAGCACATCTAGGATTTGTTTTAAACCTAGGTACAATTATGTTCTTTTAAAGCAGTAGGACAGGTAAAATGATATTTATCCTCCTTTCCTCTGACAAAAACAACCACCACCACCACCAAAAAAACAAACAAACCAAACCAACAAAAAATCCTCAACAACAGAAAAACTCAGCTGTGGAATTGATCTGTTGATGGTCAAAACTGTAATTGTTACAGTTCCTGATGAAGCTCATTTATGTCACAATTTCGAGAGGCATAATTTTGCTGCTTTCCATTTTGCTAAACTTAACTCTTGCAATAGTTGGTAGCAGTTTGTCATGTAAGCCCATACATTGTTTTATGGTTGCTTTCATTACAGTAAAAAAACCCCAACCTCAAAACAATTTTGGTTTTAAAAAGAAAAGACTAAGTAGAAGTACAGATGTACTTTTTGGGTACAAATGGTACCTAGAGGTGCAGGAAACCTTTTTGACTTTGTTTAAAGGATATTCCAGATAAAATACTTAAATCCTCCTAGAAATAACTCATTTCTGTGCTATATTAAAACTTTTAAAATATAAAATATTATTTGTATGAAACAGTCAATGATTATCACTTTCACCTTGTGAATTATAAATACAGAATTCTGTTTGTAGACCATTTGCCCTCTTCTGCAGCCCAGCATTTAGATGAAAGGCCAAAACCTTGTGTGTGTCAGTGCTTTATCAACTTCATACTTCTAAATGTGTACTTCTCAGTTGGGGTTTTTTTCCTTAAATAAATAAAATGCAGCACTTTAATGAGTTAAATATCCTTAACCAATATTAATAATACAGAAGAGGTTAAGGCAGTGAGTGAAAATCTATGTCTGAATTTTGACTGTAAGAACTAAATCTAAGTCCAAAGAAATACCAAACTAAAATACTTGAAGAATTGTATTGTTAGTTAGTTGTATATTTAAGTCACTCTGTTTTTTAATCTTGTCCTTTTTCAGAAGTCTCAGACTTCTGAAATGTGAAGTTGTGGAATCTGGGCCATTATCCTTGTGTTTCATAGTCATTAAGGTGACCTCACTTGCAGGTAGTGTTCAGTTTCCGTGTTATCTACGGTCTTGTAGTTCCTGGCGTTGACACTTTTCAACAGTGGTGTTCATTTTGTCTTGGTTTTCTGGCAAGTGATACATTACAGAATTTGAGACATCAAAAAACTCTTTTGGTAAAGACAGAAATCATTATTTAATTTATTTTTCAAAGTCAGCACTAGCCTTTCTGTCTGTTTCTAACCTGCCTGGCTATTTGCAATAGCTACATCACTGAGTATTCTTCCATATCAAGGAAATCAGAAATAGACTTGATTGGGCTTTGAGCCAAGATTAGCTATCCAAAAATCTGTGGACCTCCAGGATACCCATGGGAGTGCCAAATGCATTGTTGTCAGAGAGCTCAGATTGCTCAGCTGCTTCGCCCTTTCCTCTTACTAGGTTTAATGCTAGCTCTGCAGATCTTTTAATGGAGTTTCTTTTACCAGTAGCTGACTATGGAGAGAAGTCCATCAGTTAGGAAAGCTGACGATACAACATACGCCAGAGAAAGCGAAGGGCAACAACTATGCAGTTTGTTTGTCTTTCTCTAATATTGCCCTTCCATCTTCCCCCTTCAAACCGACGTACAGAAACACACAAAACAGTTACTAAGTTAAACACAAGGAAATTATACGTATAGTAAAAGTTATGCACATATAATAAAACTTGTGTATTTTTAGAAACATTTACACTTTGAATAATTTGCAAGAATTTATCATCAAAATCCCTTGGGTACGTTAGGCTGTTTAAGTATTACTCTAATGAAGGTTATACTTGAATTTTAATTGGGCAGCTTTCAGGCACAGTTGATAGAGCGACTTGTATGCTGTGGATATTTCAGTTCAGCGGGGTTTTTTGAGACTATTTTAGTGAAAGGACTTGGATTTCAGTGTATCTTGAAGGAAGTAGAATGTAGGTTGATCTTGGCTGCACTTACAGGAGGAAAGGAAAAAAACAGATTGCCAAGCTTTTTCAAAGGAAACGCAGAAACCCATTCCAAGTTCTTGTACATGCTTGTTTTTTCTAAAATCAGCTTTGGAATTGAGGAGCAAGTGCAAGTAGTTCAAGAAAAATAAATACTTGGTGATACTGTAATAATTGAAAGAGCCAAATTTGTAAATCAGAGACATTTTGAACTTCAACATACCAGTTTTTCTAATGAAACAGATGAACCCAAATAGCCTTAATTCTGCTCTGTATTGGTGCCACGTAACAATCAGGGTTGTGATTGAGCTATTTTTAATATCTCTGGTGCTTGGTTGAACAGATTTATTTTTAAGGTTGTGTTAGAGTTCTTTCCACATCCCATCTAGTGCGCTTGTTTTAGGGATAATAGCTATTTTCTGTTTATAAATACTTTACCTGTCATTTCTTAATAAAGGATAACCTTGTGGATATTTTGTGGCAGAAATGTGAGAGGTAGAGACTGGTAACATCCTTTGAGCATATAATTCGAATGTCCTGTTTAAGTCTTTATTGCAAAGAATTTGCAGTATTTATTATTTTACACATAGTATCAATTTAAAAATAGAAGATTTACTAAAAGTGGCAACACTTTACCCAGTTATACTGTGTTCAGAGAGGCTTTCCACAGTTAGATCAAAGGATCTTTACCTTGCTTTTGGATTGCTTATTTTAGAGGGCTGTTTTGCTGAAATGAAAGTTATGTGACAGTGTGAATAAAGAGCACAGTATTCTGAATTCCTGTATCTTTGCTTTGATGGTTTTTTTTCATAGCCTGTTACAAGATGTTGCTTAGTGGCAAGAACTCCTTGGAAACACTGGGCATAGTAGTGCCCAACTGGAATAACTGTTAGGCTGGTTCATCTACTCATGCTTCCTTTGTGTCCAGTGTCTGTTGACTCCAAAATGATTTCTTTTTTTTTTCATGGATAATAAAGGAAATTGTAGGGAAGGGAGCTGGAGTGGCTCCTCACAAACCTGGCTTTCTTTTTAATATTTTTTCCTTGTTACTAAATTACCAAGAATTTATTAGGTGGGGTTTTTTTTTTTAACTCTTAAGTGTATTGTTAATATTTGAAATATTCCAGTTCAGTTTAATGTATGGATACTTCTAAAAGGTTGATCTTCAGGCAGGTAACTGTTGTGCCATTTTAATGTCTCTTCCAAATTCCTGTCTCTGGGAGTAAGAGTTAAATGGAAAGGACTCATTCAGTAATAACTTTCCTGTTTTAGATCCAGCATTCACTTTAAAATTGTGGAAGGTGATGAGTAGAGTAACCACAGTAGAAGAATGGTGGCAATGAGGTTTTTCAGAAATTACTATGGAAAGTTTTGAAGTAATCTTCCTCTGAAGACTTCAGTGTTTTTCTGAAAGCTGCTGAGTTGATATTATAATGTATTTACTCAGTTTATATTATTAAATAAGTCTTGAATAAATAATATTTTACTATTCCTTTTTTGGAAATTGAGTTAAATTTGCATAATATAATGTTGTCACTTCTGATTTGAAACAAGTTTGAGTATTAGGATCACATTTGCATTTATAGAAGGAATTATGTACATTTAAAAAGATTTCATCACATACAAAAGAGGCAGCAAACACGGCAGTTCTGTAGTAAATGAGACATCTGTCAAAGTACGGTGAGCGTTAGTTAATAATGGCAGCTCAGGTATCAGATTCTTAATCTCTTTCACTATTATTTGTCCATTTGCCTGAGTAGTCATTTATTCTACTTGCTGTCCCTTTAATTGCGTATTTGTAGTCTTGGCTCATGTGATTATACAGTCGTCTTTTTCAGCAGTTAAAGATGTGATATTTTTTTTTTGCCTTTGCTTTTCATTACACAGATAATAAATACATCAAATGGTAATTCCCTAGATCAAGGCAAAACAGGACTGTAAAGAGGGGATCAGTTTGGTAAGAATACCCGAGTTCAGTTGGAATGTCTTTCCCACTGATGTGACTGTATACAACCTGTTTTCTTTACTGAAAAGTAACAAGACACCTGTCTGGATTTTAAACTGTGTGTGTTGCAATTATGTTCTCTAGTTTATAAGTGCTAGGTTTCTGTTTCAGAACTCAACACATACTTCTATTCAAATCCAAAGTCTATTTCATAGCAATAATTGCACTTTTTCCTTGGGTGTTCAAGGTGATGCCTGAATTTGGGATAGCAGAGGCAGCGTACATAACTTCTTAAGAACATGTTTAAATGTTTTTCCATTTCTAAGCAAGTGTACAGTTTTTATTCTGAGGGTTATTCTGTGGAATCAAATCCTGTATCTATTTAAAAATATTCTTAATTTTCTCTAACAGTTAAAACATTCAGATAATTAGACTAATCTCAAAATCATAGCACTCATTCCTGTTAACATAAAATACCTTCATAAAAACCAGGGGCTCTGATCCAGAAGTCCAAGAGAATATTCACATAGACATCAAAGGATAGGGCTTAAAATGGTTCTCTTTACTGTATGAAGCTATTGGACAGGTGCTTGGTTCTTGTTTACTGTTTCCTAAACTGCTGGAAATTTGGTAATTGGCATCAGAACAAGTAGTTTAAAAGCATTAATTTCAAGTAATTCATCTGGTTATGAAATTAACCCAGGGAAGGAGGTCTTGTAACCAGTACCATCACCTGCAGCCTACACGTGTTTCCATTTCAGAGTGGGGTTTTGTGCAAACTGGAAGAATGAAGAGATCATTCTTCAGGATAATCTTGCTTTTATCCTTAGCTTTATTTCAAGCTTTTTCTATTTGAAACTATAAAATCCGGGCATTGGTCTACAATATCTAGATATTGATTCTTAGGAGAAATAACTACTCATAACTTTATTGTAGACACAGTTTACTTTAACAGTTATGTACTTAAGACTTTGTGTTATTGTTTTATTCCCTATTGACAACAGTTATAAGTAGCTATTATTGCTGCATATTATGAGCTAATCTTTTGAGGGGCAGCGTTAACCCATGAGACTCTATTTATTGCAAAACCTCACATTTAAAAATAAAGCTAAAAGGTAGGCTTTGAAATACTTTAGAAATGACCAGTTATGATTTTATGAAGGTATAAGCACATTTATTTTGTGAAGTATGATATTGTTCTTGGCAAGTGTACTTGAAAAGCACATTTATGTACATTCGTTAGCTTAATTGCATGACCTTAGCGTGCTCATCATCCTGTTTTGGCTTTAACCCTGACTAGAAAGCAAACGCAGAATCAGGATTATGATTTGTTAAGTAGAAAACACATTCTGCTTTTTACCTTTTTTAAAGCTTCCTTCCTAATTTTTTAGTTCAGTGTAAAGAAATGTTTTTACACTTAATTCTTAACTGATCCTGTCACTGTGTGCCCTCTTTTCCTCCTCTTGTGTTGCACTGAGTGGAGCTGAAGTGCAGAAGCCTTGGTAGGCTATAAATGTGGCATAAAACTTCTGGACACGTGATCTGTGCTTTCCCAGTGCTCTTTCGTTCCAGTGAAGTGAAAAGGGTCTCTGTCTCTTCACAAGTGCCGGGCAGTCTGTGTGTGCTGGTTTGCTAAGCTTTTGTTGAAGTGAAGCAGCATGTTTTTAAACTGTATAATTGGTACTGGAAAGGGCATTGTACTGTTCAGGTAACGTTTCATGAGGGAGCTGTATTATTTTTTAATTTTTATTTAAGATGACACATTTAAAATCAGCACTCAGGTATACTTCAACTGAGGAAGTCTTAAAAACAAAGACAGACTATTAATTTTATTTAAGGCTGACACAGTTCTCTATTTCAAAGAAGTGTTAGCTTTAAAATAGCTTTGAACGACAGGTACTGGATTCTAATGCCATAAAGGTAATGTTAGACTTCTTATATTTGTGTATGAGAAGTTCAGCTTGCAACAGTTGTGAGATTATGAAAGCATTAACATTTTCTGGTTTCAATATTATGATGAAGCTGCACTGTTCATGAGGTGTTTAAAAAGGAATTCAAAATGTATGGCATAATAGAGGAAAACTTGACTCCCCCTTTTTTCTTTTCAGGTTTTGTTTGAATCAATGCCCTGGTCAAGTATAAAAATTAAAAAGGTTCAAATACATTTACCTTCAATATTCTGTGATTTTTTTTTAATGTTTTAAAGACTTCTTATACATAAGATGCTGTGAAATAGGTATTCTGTGTGAATTGGAAATGTTGTGAAATGACTTCCTTTTATTTTCTTTGTGTGATTTTTAAGCATCAGAAGTAGCATTCAGTTTTCAGCAGGTTTCTGAGGGAAACATGGTTCCTAAGATCATGTTATATGACCAGACACTTGTGTTAATGTCTGTAAGCCCACCTGTGCTGGGGTAACTGCCATTCCAAAGCTTGAAGACGTGGTATGGTCCTTTGTGAACTTATCTGTTCTGTTTGGGCTCTGTATAAGTGTATCTTGTGGTATGAGGTGATCTTAGAACAAGTGCTGCGTATGAGTCTTCCAATACTACTTTTATGTCGTGTGGCCTGCCAGCTCAGAAGGAATGGCTGTAAACTCTGTAGGATTGAAGGGATCTGATTTTAATTTCAGCATCTCTTACAGACAGTCTTTCAGTAACTCGAGAGAATTGGTGAGCTCGTTGAAGAAGGGAGAGTACTTCTTGAATAGGGGCAATGTTTTCATTTTTTTGTCTCTTCAGCCTATGAAATAATTAGAACAGGAACTGCCTCTTGTATTTCAGTACACGTTTAGCACATTGATCTTTGAGAACTCTGTGTGCTGCTCTAATACAAATAAACCTTCGTGGATGTCGCAATAAACTGCTTTGGTTTTTACAGCTAAAACGTAGCGACAAGTGTTGCATTGAGTATCTTGGTCTGGTACATTCAGTAATGCACTGGTTACACCAGTTACTGTCAGTGCTTCACTAACAGAAGCCTCAGTTTTAGTGTGCTGTATGGTCAGTAGTAACAGCCTTGTTTTGGAGTGTAATTCTAAAAACATTGAAAGGGTAGGGTAAGACAAGTCTAATTTATATTGCAATTTGAACATGGATTTTTGTGCTGCTTTGCTGTCCCTCAGATGTGCAGCACCATCTCTTTTTACCTAAAGCCTGCTTTTTAAATGACCCTTTGATTTCAGCTCCTCTCCCATTCCTTCAACCTAAGCTTGCGTTTCATCCATTCTGTACTTAGGCTTCTAGACTTGTTAGCATTGTCGTTTTCATTCCTAGACCAGCCCATTTTATAATTTCAGAGTTTGAAATCCAGAAATTTGGCCTTGTGGAACTGTAAAAAGGCCAATATTCAACAAAAGCAGTTATTTGTGATAGCAGAAATCTTACATTTCACTTTTTCAATTGAAATAAACCTCAAATTCTGTCAAAACCCATTGTAAAACATGAAGTCTGAGATGTGGTTGTTTTGAGGTAATAACTCTTGGATTATTTGGGACGATCACCTTCCTCTTCTGATCTTGCCTTTGGAGTTTAATGTGATTTGTTCTGGATTGATCAAAACAATTTGATCTGTTTTAAAGTCTATGTTGCTAGTCTTGAGGTATACTCAGCCGTGTTTCCAAGGAGTTATCAAGGTATATATTCATTTTTTATATTCATTTTAGTCAATATGAACTTTCATTAATAATGAAAAGTGACAAGACTGAATACAGAGATAAAGTGTGGCTGTTAATATAGCAATGAATAGTAGTGTGGTGTTTTAATGCTGTATGCAGATTCATTTAAATTGTAAACTCGCTAAAAAATACAAACTACTGTTTTATTGGCATGCCACAGTTGTATTAGCTGGTAATTCCTGCTAACTGTATTAGGCTGTAAGAAACAGTTTTCCTAGTTTTACAGGTTTTCTTTATTCTTCTGCACAGGGTCAGCTTTACCTGCTGGTGACAGACCAGGGCTTTCTTACGGAAGAGAAAGTTGTCTGGGAAAGCTTACACAATGTGGATGGTGACGGAAACTTCTGTGATTCTGAATTCCACCTGCGGCCTCCATCAGATCCTGAAACTGTCTACAGAGGGCAGCAGGATCAAATAGATCAAGTACTGCATTTCTGTCTTTCTACTGTGTTTTTGTTTGCTTTTGGCTACATGTGTGTACCTACACAGATATGTATGGATGTGTACTCATGCCTATGTAGGACTATAAAAAAATTCTTCAAGTATTTTGGTTGGGGTTCTCCAAAGTGCTGTTTTCAACTGTTAGCATGACTTCAAGGAAGAAGAGTAAGAACAACTGTAAATAGCTTGGAGACGCTGATTTTAGTCTCTCAAAATCCACTTCTGCAAAGAACTTACTCAGGTGAAACGTCACATCAGCCTTGTATATGGCAACGGGGAACAGCACTGTGAAACTTCTCCTGTGACAAATTCATTTTGGCTCACTAATGTCACAACTGAACGTTGCTTTCTGATGCCCACTTTGCTGAATGCAGGACAAAAACCACAGCAGACTGGGGGTGATGGTGGCTATTGGTCATTTGTAAGATAAGTTTCCAGAAGCCGTTTCTGAGACAGGAATTACCAGGTAATACATAAGCACATAGCAAGACCAAGCTCCTACATTCTGAGATCTTACATTCTGAACAAGGAAAATAAGTTTATAGTAATCATCATTAATGTTTTTTAAATATTGGGGAAAAAATTGAATAAGCAGATGATTTTTAATAAATCCAAGCACAGTCTCTCTCTTGTAGAATAAAGAATCTGGCAGAGGTAACAGAGCTAGTAATATCTGGAGTTGCTGTCTGTTTGGCTATATCCAAAACTACCTTTTGATGCCTTGTCTCGTCTGTTTAGGAGTTAGTGTTCCTTACTGAGGTACTCTCAACACTGTTCAGTACAACGGGGACAGATGCTCTATCAAGCACATTCAGAATGTTAAATAGAAATAGCAAATGATGAAGAGACAGCTTCCAAATTCTTACTTCTACCTAGGACTGGTAGGAGCTGACCCTGTCTTTTTTTTGCTGCTGTCCAAGTAATGGAATTTTAACCTGAAAGCAATTGGTTTTGCTTAATTTTTGTGTTTTGTACGCTGTTACATAGGCACTGTGAAAGGAGAATTGTAAAGTAGCCATTTTCAGCCTTTTTGCAGTTCACATTATGAACAGGTTCTGAAACAAATTCCTGTTTTCCATGAGGTAAACATATTTGAAGATGAAGCTGGAAGAAAAATGATGGTACTGCATTGGTGCATATGCTGAAAAAATCACTTGATGTGACTTAGCTGTTTTCTATGTGAAAGAGAATTAATAAACATGTTTGCTGTTTAGGATTATCTGATGGCATTGTCTCTGCAACAAGAGCAGCAAAATCAAGAGATTAACTGGGAACAGATCCCAGAAGGCATCAGTGATCTAGAGCTAGCAAAGAAGCTCCAGGAAGAGGAGGACAGGAGAGCTTCTCAGTACTATCAAGAGCAAGAACAAGCAGCTGCTCAGGTCCAGGTAAGAAGGCATTATTAGAATGGGATCATGAGTTTTAGAGTGTTCACTGAACAGACACATGTCCAATTATCAATCTCAGACTGATAAGACTGCTGGTTTACATCCCATATAGCAAATGATGAGATGAATCTGAAGAACTGTGCTGTAATTGTTGGCGTACACATGCAGATATGGCAGTTGCTGCCACTTAAATACTTCAAAGCAGGCCTAACCTTCTAAATTAGGGTTTTATTCGTACTATTTTAAGTTGGAATGATGGGATGAGTTAGTAAGTAAGGTTACAAGGATTGTATTAGCTAATATTTTACATTACTTGCAAAATAGCATTCAAGTAAGAGTTTGTTGATAGTAGTCAATTTTCTCTTTATTTTGTCTTGCAGAAGTTTGTTGCTTTACATTTTTAGGTGTTTCAGTCCATGGTATCATGTGAATTTATTCAGTCCTGTTTCAGATTAGGAAATTAACACCCTTCTGCCCCATCCCCATAAGCAGTTGCATTCAAAATGCTTGGAAAACAGGATTCACGTACATATAGGTACAAAGTTGTCATATAACTGAATCTTGTGTGTAAGAGGCATTATTTAAGTTGGTGTTCTGGATTCAGGGAGCTCTCAACCACTGAAGACTTTAAAAACTGCTTTTATTTAAAAATACGTAAAAAATAATTGGTAGGAAGGCTGCATCTTTGGCCTGAAGCAATTCAGAACCATTAACTGAAGTGCCTGTTAAACACGAACCACGAATTTTGACAATTGAAAGTTTTATTTTCCCTGCCTGTTGCTATTACAGAACCATCAGTAGCTGCTTCTGAGACAAAGATCCACTACTGCTGGCTGCAAAAAAGGTAGAAAGAACTGAAGAACCTGCTTAACAGGGCTTCAGAGCATGCTTATTTGCAGCTGTGGACAGAGAACAGCTGGAATAGATGATGAATTAACAAAACTTATGTTGCCTTTTTATACTACCCCCTTTGCCAAGTTCTTAACTAGTTTCTAGTCACAAAAAGCTGCTGCTTTGCCATACCTCGCTGTCAAAACCAACTCTTTCACTCTGCAGCTTCTGAAACGTGGGTTATGTTCTTACAAAAGAAACTAGGAAAATATTCCAGTACAGCAATATAGAAGTGCCGGAAAATACTTGAAGCCAAATTTTATTATTGAAACAACTAATCCGAACGTGTCGATGCAATAGAGGGGGACACAGAACTTGAAACACATTTTCAGCTGACTTTGTTTTTTAGAAGTAAGTTTTGTGTCAGTTCTGGAGTATTTCTACAAAAAGACCCTACCTGAATTCCGCTGTTTGCATAATATGTCAACTTTGTGAACTTGAACACAGAGTAATAATTCAGACTGCATCTACAGTAAAGCTTGTTTGATTCAGGATTTTGGTTTTTTTGCCGTAGCAGGTGCAAGGTGCTGCTTCTCCAGGAAGTGGAAGACAATCTGGGAGTAATGAACGCAAACGTAAAGAGCCTCGAGAGAAAGAGAGAGAAAAAGAGAAGAACAGCTGTGTTCTCTTGTAGTAGAAAATGGATTCATTCCGGAGCCAAGTGCATGTCCTCAGAAGCAAAATCAAGGAGTAAAAAGGAAGACAAACCCGTTACATGCCGCCTGTGCCTGATTATCCCATGGATTTTGTTCACGTTTCAAGAGAGGATGGGTGACTTTGTTACAATCATACAGACTTTCTTCAAAGTCAGAGTGCGTGCTGCTCAAGATGGAATTCCAAATCACAGTTCGATGCAGCTGTGCTTTGAGTTAGGCGTAAGAAATACTGCACCTTGTAGCTGAACACACAAATCATGGCAAGTTTTGTGTCACAGTGACATCCATTACTCGTTACATCAGTCAGTAAGCTATTTTACCCTCTCCTCTAAACGAAGGAGGTCATTCGTTTTCTGTAAGACTTTCTCCTGAAGTCTGTACGCTAACACAACAGAGTTCTGTGTTACTTACATGATATGAAACTATATCTCAGTCTGGGTATAGTCTTCATGACACAAGAGCCCGAATAACAGCTGGGCACTGCCTCCTCAATGTGTCCAGATTTCTTTGCTTCTGGATCTGGTATGTTCGGTTTTTTGAACCCAGATTTATACTGTGTTACTGCTCTCATTGCACCTCCTGGCCAGCTTTCTTGCCCCGAGAATACGTGACTTGATAGGCATCATACAAAACTTTGTCATAGAAAATGGGGCACTTATTAGTAAGCGAGACGAATATTGTTTGCTTTTCTTGCAATTACAAACTGGGTATGGCAACTCAGACGTTATCAGGGTTAAACAAGTAATTTTATAGGTAACTTTTTCTTTTAGTATTTTTTCTCTTTTAGGTAAACTGGACCAGATAAGTTCTTATTTATTGACCTCTCCATATGATAGGTGAATGATGAGAGGAAACTAAGGTCTATAATAATCATTACGCTATGTAAGAATGCAGAGTTAAAATAACTATCTGCCTTTTTTCCAGAAGTACCTTGAACTTTAACACGACGTTAACGTGTCCACTTGTATGTTTGAACAAGTGTACTGTAGTTAAAAACACACTTCTTTGTTCCTTTTATAAATCATATATCCTTAAAAAGCACACTTCTGAAGGGTGAGAGAGAAGCGAGGCTGCTCTCTGGGATTGTTTGGAAAGGCGGTCAGGTGTAATATTTTGTTTTTTAAATCACTAATTTAGAATATTTGGAAAGCAGATTTTTCTAATTTATGGGAACCAAATAAACACGTTACATCTTGTAGTATTTATAGAATACAGAACCAGAACACTTGCTGAACTTTGAGGGAACCACCGATCTTCCTCCACTTCTGCTAGGTCAATAACAGTTCCCTTCTTGCTGAACCTTTTTGATAAGACATTTCTATAGCAATTTGTAGATACTTTTGAAAAAGGCTGCTCTTCCTGGACAAGTTATGTGTTCATGCTCTAAGCCTGAGTAAGTGCATTATTATACTCTAATCTGGGCAGGCTGATGCAGCCAAAGGGAATACGACATTCCTAGTTCCAGGTGTCTGGAGAATGTCTGCAAGAGAGGGGGTGTCTCAACACAAGTCCACTGGCAAAAAGCAGCTTTAAAATTACTTCAAGCAGACTTGCTGCGGTGATGGGAACCAGTCATCACAAATCCATTACGAGCCTAATGAAAATCAGATGGATAAAGGAAGAATGTCTTACTAAGTCAAGGGCCAGTTTGTATCACTTTCTTTCTTCCATGCCTTTTTCTCGTTTTTTCCACTTTTGTTACAATTTCCCTTTTATAATAACGAAGTAACGAACGGTAGGAGGTCTCTAATATGTCAACTGTAAATTTAAGAATTTCTCTATGCTCTAGAAAAGTCATCCCCATAAAAGTAATTTTACTACTTAATGTATGCAGTCCAGAGAATTTTCTATGTCAAAGCAAAGGTCGATGTTTTTTCCTTTGCAGCAGCCTAACTTCTTCAGACAAATGTGATGGAGGATCACCAATGTAATGACTTACCTACTTTAAGCAGATCAGCAAATATTCCAGTAGTGTCAGTAACAAAGACTTTAAGCCAGAATGTTGTTTAAAAACATTCTATTACTAAGATTTTTTTTTTTCCAAATTTGTGTATTTACATTTATTTATTGACCTTGAAAAATAAATATGTCAAGCTAAGTGTTTGTTATCTTCTTCTTTTCAGTGAGACAGCATTGCCACTGCAAATTCCTCTCCGAACAAATCTAGCTGGAGCAGGCGTTGTGGCTGTTGAGTTTACCTCTTTGCCTAAGATACTTGCTCGTAGTAGAGTATTCATGTAACAGCTCCAGTTTGACAGATGTGCTTGAAACCCAGTACACTGTAGTTACGGTAACGTTGTCATTTGGACACAAAGGAAGAAGAGTTAAATGTCAGTGCTCATCATGAAGTCTGAGCTCCCTCTTTCAGTACAGGAGGGAAGGGTTTCAGGCTGGTTGAGATGGCAGGCATATGGTTCTAACAGTTTCCTGTTAATCCCTTCTTTGTTTTTTTACAGGTCTCGAAGCTTTGGAAAAAAAGTAAAGATTTAAATCCTGAGCTCTAGGGCAGTGTTCTGCACAAGTTGAGCTGGTTAGTGGCAACATTTATAAGCAGATGAGCTTGTTAATACCCAAAACTAAATACATCTTAACTTATACTGACTGTGACTAACCATTCCAAGAGCAACTGTCACAGTTAGTATCTGTGACAGTATCTGATGAGCAAAAAACTGAACAGAATTGCTTTTATCTGTAATAGTGAGCTTGGAAAACAGTATTACAAAATATTCATGGAGTACCAGAAAGACGATGTCTACTTCTGGCTCTTTACATCATTTGCTGCCTTGGGTTTTTGTTTGTTTTGAAGCTCATGTTCTGGCAAAAGGGTACGGATTTATACTTTAAATCTGTGTATCCAGTTTCGCATGCACACGCTCCAAATGCCTACATAATATATATATGAAAGTGGCCAGAAAGGTAGAGTAGAACTTGTTTTCCACTAGATAAAAGCTAGCACAGAAAACAAAATCATAGAGTTTTTGTTGTTGCGTTGTAGTTGTGAAATAAAAAAGCTAAATACAAGTATTCTACAGATTAGCCAAAAAATTGAGCACTGCCATAGCGATAAATGTTTTTCTAAAAGGCACTTTGTAAATGCTCAAATAGACCACTTTTCTTGTGACACTCGTGTGGAATCTGCGACCCAACAAAGCGGATCCAAAGGAAGATTGTAACAGCAGAGGATGAAGTCAGCATTCCTGAAATCGCAGTTAAAACACAAGGCAAAAAAATACATTTTGCAGCTATCCATCTGGTTACCCTAATCAAGCGTGTGTTCAGATTGCCTTCACAGAGCTCTTCTCGTGGATCACAGGCACACCAGTGACAAGTGAAGCATACGCTCCTCTGTGTACGCTCGGCACTGGGTTGCCAGCCAACCTCCACGCCCATTCGGTATTTCACGTGACTGTCCAATGTCTCCTCAACCTTGTACGAGCAAGTTCTTGAAAACATTTTCCCAGTATGTAATAAAAGGTAATTTGAATTCTTGAAATGGAATCTTTTGGTGTAT